TAAGTAGAAAAATAAGGCAATATATTTGTATTTTCATGTATCCTCAACAAAACTGTGTACAAAATTTCGGTTTATATGTGAATGACCCTCGCGTAAAGAGGCTGTATTTTATTAGATACTTAAATCCAGAATGATCGTTTTATATCACACGGCTAAAAAAAAAAAAACATCTATCACGTGGATAAAATTGAATGGAATTCACCAATGTTTGTGTAATAAAACAACCACACAGTGAACAGTTGCAAATCCAAGGGGCTGGGAAAGGAATCGAGGCAAGCGTGTCTTGGTAGGAAAACGAGAGTCGAGATTGTGTTACTCTTTCGCTGAAAAGACAGACTCCTAGGTCTCTCCGCGGCCGGGAAATGACACTTCCGGCATACATTTCGCAACCGTGGAAATCCTCTGGAAGCATATTCGCGGTCTCGAAACAGCGGTATACCAGCTCGTATACGTTGAGAGCCGTTGAAATATCTTTCCCGCGGATATATGCCGCGCGTCAGTTCCAAAGCCGATATTTCAGTTGGTGGCGCGTATAAACATGGGCGAAAGGACCGCTTCGCGCCCCAGGACTCGCCGAATTTTGATTCCTATCGCCCGAAGTCACTTGCAGCGCCCTTTATATCTCGACGAATTTCACGGTTGCCCTGCGAGCATACGCTTGAGCGCTCTCGAGACGCGTTCTCCCCTCGATCTAGACTCCGGGTCCTCATTTGCTGAAATTGCGATAGCTCGTGCGAAAAGTAATAAAAAGAAGTGGATACTTCGATAGGAAAATGATGGGGGGATGAAAGTAAGAAGGTGGAATGAATATTAGTGGTGAAAATAAGCTCTGTCACGCCACGATGAGTTCGGGAGAATTCATATTTACAGAAAAGAAAACGAGCACAGGAAAAGAAGTTTGACGATGAATGTAGGTTAGTCGATGATGCGAGACCTGAGATTTTATTCAATTTTTTTTTTTCTTTATCAGAGAGGAAAGAGACGCGTTTATTAAATACAGTTTACTAATGAGATATTGAAAGGATGATGCACAGAGATTAAAGAAAAAAAAAAATCGTTACGGAGGGGACAATTACGTCAACGGCATACGTAACGTTATTACGTTTATTGGTTCAACGTTTATTCTGTTATTGTTTCGCTCCCCTTCAGGGATACAAATTTCTGGGTTAAGCGCCGCACGCGATTCCACATAATGGGCTTTTGTTGAATGTGAAATATAGATAGCTCGGAGCAAAAATAATAGAAAAACTGAATGCCGTGAAATCTGAAGGATTATGGTTAATTGAATGCGCTTGAGTTTGTTAGGCACTGCTACAAATATCGGTCAATGATTCTGTGCTCGACAGCGACGGACAGAGAGCAATGAACGCGCTTCGGGCTCGCGTCGAGACCGGATGTGTTCGATACTTGATCGAACGAATAATGCAATTTGTTGGAAACCCCGATACCGTAACGTACGGAATACCTGTTTGGTCGTATTTTTATTCTGACATTTCCCAAACCGATGCTTCACGTTAAATCGCAATCAACGATTTAAAAGACGATATTAAGGTCGTTAAATTTTCGGTACTTTCGGCTTACACTCTTCGATAAACAATTGACACCACGATCCAATGCCTTTCCTCACGTTTGGCGATGTTTACACAATTCAGACTCGTTGGTCACTTTCGAAACTTGGAAATCTGTCGAATTGGTGCTCGTCCCTCGAAGAGTGAACGCTCTCGAAGCGATGTCGAGGTTGTTTCGAGTTACAGCACGTCCTCGAAAGCGGAGGTCTCGGTTTCCGGTGGCAGCGACACCGTCGTGACGTTTTCCCATTGAATCGACGCGTTCCCCTAGAAACCTTCCCTATTGTGATGCCGATGTACGACGTATAAAGCGGTGTCTTGAATTAGTTTATCCATATGGATCGAGATCGTCACCGGGCGTCGAGTTCTCGTAGATCACCCCGGGATTGCTTTCCATTGTGTTCTTCGTTCGACCCGCGGCCATTCTCTCCAGGTTTGCATTTGAATGCCCCGCTCTCTACCCCCTCGGCCATTCTGTCAGCCATCTCGTGCGTCGGCTATTATTGAATTATCCCGCACTTGACACGCGAATGCCGTTTTCAACGATTCACCTGCTCTTCAGCCGTCCAGGTTTTTAGCTCGAGACGAGGGGCTGCGAAATGGCAACGGAACCGACCTCCATCGCCCCGTATTCGACACATCTTCGACAGACACCTTTCAATCGATCAAACTTCACCCCTGAATTCGCCAATGGCGAGACTGAAACACGATGAAACGATGATCGGGGATATTCGAGACTCTGAAAATGTTTAAATCAATTTTCGAGTTGCGAGTTATTACATATATATTAAACGGATAGATCAAACTGGAAAGGAACCGGTCAGGAACCCTATCACAAATCATCAACTCCTGATGGCTGAAATTATGATCCTTCTCATCGTCAAGTATACTTCCTTGTTTCTTTCATACTTCCACCGACAGAGAAACTATTGTATTTCGCATAGAATTGAATTAAAAATGCTGTCGTCGTAACCGCGGCGTTCAGTATAAAGTATTACGCGATGAAACATTGACCGTGTTCATTGTCGCGATACAGCGGTTACACGGATAGTTAGTTTCTCATTCGGGCTAAATAGTTCACCGCCACGAGCGCAATTTGTGAAACGCAAAGCCCCGTTTCTGGCTGGTCAGCGCCGACTCGCGTCCGTGTCGCCAGGGAAATGTCCGCGTTCACCAACAGCCGCGCCGTTTGAATAATTATAACCCATAATGGCCGACGTTTGTCATTCCTTTCGAGTGAATCGGTCGTTGTCCTCGCCACGTCACCGATTCGAGATCCCAATTGGCTCTTCATCGGACTTCCAGCTCCTCGCGGGCAAGAAGGACGTTTCGGGGCTCGAGGGAGGGCATGTTATAATTTTTATGTTTTTATTCGAACACACGAATATTCTTTTAGTGTGAATTTTATGACATACTCGGCGAGGTGTGTGTTTTCGTATATTTGAATTTGAACTTCTTAAAGTACGTAGTTTTCATATTAAAAATTCCAGAAAGTGTAAACATTCAATGACGAAACTTTTCACCTCAAAAATCCCTCTCCTCCAAAAATGGCCTCTATTCAAGAGGATGCAGTTATACGTTCTAAGACGACGAACTCGTGCTTCGCCCTCGTATGCCAATACCCTCCATCAATTCTATCGATATCTTACGCGATTCGGATGCACCGGGGCGAAAATGGAACGACGACTATTTCCGTTCTCGGTGCGGACGTTCCTCTTTGGCCGTCGATTAATTCGCGACGCTGCCGTCAGGCGGGTTGTCCGGTCATATTTTTCCCTGTGTAATTTCGAGCTGGAATCTTCGACGCTTTCGTCGCTCCCCGCGTCTGCAGGAGGAAGTATCATCGATCGTGAACGAGTCTGGCCGACGTTCCTCTTACGAACGGAGACAGGATGTACGGCCGGCTACGGCAATTCATCCTCGATCGATTTATCTGAAAAGCCGCGCTCCCAAAGATTCGCGAGAGACGGATGCAGGAGACAATTGATTTTTTCCCGATCGACTCCCCCTCAGCTCTGACAGACACGCGGAAATATACACACACGGACCGACTCGCAGATCCGCCGTTTTAGTCCTTGCAATCTCCTATCCACCTACGTTGTCACGCGTCACACGGTACACGATCCATAACCTGCAAAGCTCGGGGGAGATCCGCCCCCGTAAATCTAGCCGGTGCTCTCAATTAAGCCCAGTCTCGTCGACGAAAAAGTATACACGCGGAGGTTACAAAACGGACGAACACCGACGGGGGTACATTGATTTTATTGTCGGGTCGTTTAAACTAATTGCAACGGCGGATGACCGACTCTCTGTTCGCTGTTCCTCACCCTATGTCGTCGAGCACTTTTCTTGAGCCGTTTGTAATATACATGACGCTTTCAAATCATACATTTCGAATTCAAACTTCGGAATTGCCGAATATGAGAACGTACAGGATCACTGTTGGCTCCTATTTGTAACAGTCCCTCTTTCCTGAGTATTCATTTATTACATGGCAAAAATTCCTAAATAATTGATATTATTTAAAGTAGTACATTCGGTTGTCCAGAAAGTTCCTGTTAATTTTGTAACCCCTTAAGCTACGATTTAAATTCCAACAGCCTCGGACCAAAATGTGATGTTTACATTTGGTTCGAAAAATAGAACAAACACAAAAATTGGATTATATAGTATAGGTAAACGTAACGGAAGGTTATAGCTCTCCATCATAATTTGATACAGTATAAACCACAGTAAAGAAGTAAAGAAAATGGTGAGAAACTAATTTACTAATTTCTAATGGTAGTTCGACAGTAAACAAAGGAAATGTAGTGGTTTTTGTGAGTAAAGAAGCTTCATAGATGTCCCCTGGTGCTTTTAGCTTATACCTCGATCCCTCTGTCTGACGCCTTTAGCCAACCGTTGCTCTCCCCATTGTTTGGTGTCCTTTTAATTACCCTGGATGGGGATCGCGACATCGAGAGGATGTCGTGCGGTCAGGGGAACGTTTGTTCGCCCCTGTGTGCTCCTGTTTGCCCCGGATGCCCTTTGGCGTTCGACGCTGGCGGCGTTCAGAGCCGACAATCGACCAGTTCTTTTCGTCGAGGTCTTTGACCGTACCAATTAGAGCTCGTTTCGATGTTTTACTGCTTACCGCATCCCGTTTTTGATGGAAACTTTCCGTTCCTTATCTTTCACTGGAAACTAGTAGGGTAAATATTTTCGATGCAACACTTGCTGATTTAAAATAAATTTTAATAAAATCTCCTCGAACTATAACGATTATAAAATATAATAGTTTCTTTGACACGTTGACCGCCACGTCAGCCATGTATGAGTGACAGGGATTTTCACTAAAAAAAATTAATTCTGAAAGCCAGGTGTTAAAGAAAACAAGTCTGGATAGAATTCATGTATTTTTATCGAGTTGTACAACTAATTCTGCTGCAAATATTAAATCATAGAGTTCCAAATTGTATAAAAACATAATTGTAGCTTTGTAAATGTTTTCACGAGTATGTCTGGCACTGACGGTGTTAATTATCTACCCAAAAAATATTCCAAGTCTGATAACGCAGGAGCACCAGAGATTTCGGTATAATTTCCCAACCACACCAATTTTCTTCGTTCAGAACTACTTCTTCCATCCTTTCTCCCGAGAACTGTAGACGTTCAATCAAAGGAAAAGCTCGCGAATTTCAAAAAGGTCCTTTTAAAGACCATCTTTTTCACCCGCGAAAAAAAGCCGTCCCTTTTTTTTCGCCTTTTATACACTCGCCAGAGGTTTTCTTCCGACCCTTTGACGACTGACAAACACGGCTACCAAACGAAATAGAAACTCGGTCCAATTAATGCACCACCCGAGCGCGCACAGAAAAGCTTAGTTAGCGGCTGTACGCGGGTCGTGATTCGATTAGCCCAGTTGCGACGCTCGAGTTGCATCAGGACACCGTACGACGACGACGCGCATTCACGCCGACCCTTTCGATAAATGCACGCGAAGTTTCCATAAATTTAATAAAGAGGACGGTGCGAGCGGTTCCCAGCTATTGCTCCACGCTCGCTTGGAGTTCGCGTTCAGCTGGTGACTTCCGGTTTTCGACACGTCGAGGACTACACGAGTCCAGGTCGATGGCGAAGTTGTTCCACTCCCCAAAATTTATTTCGTTGTTCCACGTCCAACGCAAATTGCATTGCGAACAAAATTATACCATAATTGAGGGGTTCGTTGTGCAAGTGGTAGAAGTTCATCTCCCTGTGTTTAGGTGTTTTGTTGGACGATGTTCGATGAAGGTATTTAAACGTTAGAATGTTGCCTCCGCTTTGAATAATATTATGAATTTAATGTTTGTTGTTGTGAGTTATTACTTGATCAAGAGGGGATTATGGATACAAAATTGTCTAAAATAGGAGTAGATTGAAATGGAAAATGTTTGCTTCACGCACCTAATTTTTCTTCCTTTTTCCCAAACGCGTGGAGGCCGATCCGCATTCCTGCATTCCCAGAGCGAATTACAGCCGAAATTAGTTGGCGGACAATCGAGGCGCAACTTTCGCACGAGGAACTTGGCGAACTGTGACGAATTACTCAGTGACCGTGTTACTAAATTCTGTGTGTACGGAAGTGCGCATGTGTGCACGCTGGCCTCTATTTTACTTACATGTATGGGTGATTCATCAGAAGAGTCGCAAAATTTATTATCCTACTCTTTTATAAGGCAAGCATTCATCCTCTTCAATTCTTTAAACAATTCTGTATGTATGTTAACCTTTGTTTTGCTGTATATTCCAGGAGTAATCTGTGTGAATGTGTGTGAATGTGTGTGTGTGTGTGTGTGTGTGTGTGTGTGTGTGTGTGTGTGTGT